AATGGTGATGTCACCGGCTAATCCTTCCAACCCAAAAGCACCTTGGTTCTATGGACACTAGTGCAATGTGATGGGAAGTCATTTACATTGTACTAGAAGAGGGTCTCAACCAGTTTGGGCAAGGAATCTAAAAACTTTTAGCTCTTTGGGGCTTTATCAACCTGTCATTACAAGCAATGGCTAGAGATTGTAGTCTACCGTCCCCAACTGAAAGTGCCCCTTCAAACCAGTGATGGGCTCCTTCTGGTTCGGCCCAGTTCCCCCGAGCCGGTAGCGGTGACGATATGACATCACCAAACCGGTTCTGCCCCCCCCCGCCCCCCACCCACCCCCCGCGTTATTCTTACCTTTTATTTGGCCCCACCCCCAATCTATTGCTGCCTCCTGAGTCCCAGCTGGTGGCTAGAGACCATAAAATTGTTTAAACTCTAGCTGCGGGGCTTCAAAGGGCTGCCCTACAGCTGATCAGTGTTAAAAGAAAACAAATGAGTAGACCGGAGCCTGCAAAAATAAATGGGTAGACCAGTGCCTCCAAAAATACATGAGTAGATCAGTGCCTGCAAAAATAAATGGGTAGACCGGTACAGCTCTGCAAGCAGTTAAAAGCCTGGTAGACCAGTACTTCTGCTAAATCCTAAATAATTGTCACATGACCATCAAGCCACGCCCACAAAATAAGCCATGCCCACAGAACCGGTAGTAAAAAAATTTAGAACCCACCCCTGCTTCAAACCATATTTATTTTGTTTTTCTGCTATCCAGAGCTGCAGGGGACATAGAGAAGAAACAATAGTGTCATCTATCAGAGGCTTACTATTCTTATTTTTAACTTCTCCACGAAGCAGAAAAATCCCAGTGCTACGATAGGGTGGTGTGATTGTTATGAATCTCTTGGGCTGACCACAATTTTCTCCTTATCCATGAATGTTCGTGCAATCCTTGTTTAAAGCCCCCTATGCTAGCAACCTTAGGCTTGTATCTTAGGGCAGTGAGATTGATCAAGTTGGTATCCATTGGGCAAAGGGAAATGTGTCAGATCAATCTTCTTGGGCCAGATAACACATGCCTACCATGGCTAGATTGCCTGTAACCTTTTCGGATTGGTTGCTGTCTTGTGGAAAACTACCGATGGCTGCCTAGGAAACGGAAGCAACAAACACCAAGTGTGAGGCCAAAAGCCACAAAATTGCCCTTGCTCATCAGGCTTAGTCATGTACGATGCTGAGCAATATTAACACCAGCCAATTCAGAGAGCAGCAATAGCCAGAGAATATTATGATCAAGGGGACCATGGCTGATAGGCTCTTGGGAATTATAGGAAGCTTGGGAATTACAGTTCAGCAAGATCTGAAAACAGCCTGCTTCTTCACCTATAACAGGAGTGTCAAACTCTCATCACATCGTCATCACGTGATGTATCACGACTTCCCCCCCTTTGCTAAACTGGGGGTGGGGTTGGCCAGCATATGACGCATTGGGCCCACGGGCCATGGGTTTGACACCCCTGACTCATAATGTTTAAGGCCAGGCAAAGATTCAGAGATAGTTAAGATATTGTCAGGTGCAAGCAACCACACCCACACAGGAAAGACTCAAATTGACTATTTTATTGTAGTCTACCTGTAGTACAAGAATCTCCCAAGACCGCTTGCCTTTCCTTGGGAACAAACAGATCAGGTTCTTGGAACGTCAGCGGAAGATCAGGCTTATGCCTCTTGCGGCTGTGCAAGGTTAGTTTCCAGTTAATAGCAATAGCATTTAGACTTACACACTGCCCCATCGCACTTTTACAGCGCTCTGTGGGTGGTTTACAATGTCAGCATATTGCCCCCAACAATCTGTGTGCTCGTGTTACTGACCTTAGAAGGATGGAAGGCTGAGACAACCTTGAGCCTGAACTCCTGGCTGTGGATAGAGTTAGCCTGCAATACCGCAGTTTAACCACTGAGCCATCAGGCCAGTGGTGGGTTCCTACCGGTTCACCACGGATCAGGCAAACCGGTAGCGGTGGCAGTGGGAGGTTCCACCCACCCATGCTGGACACTTCTGCGCATGCGCAGAAGCATTGCATATGCACAGAAGTGGCATGCGCGCACAGAAGCACGCAAGTGCCCTCGAGCGAACCAGTAGCGACGGTTTTTGAAACCCGCTCCTGCATCAGGCCTCTTGTTCCCTCCATCTTACTAACTGACAGGGAGTTTCCCAAAGGATATAAGGACAAACTATGGCATTACTATTATCTGTACAAACTGGATGAATGCACCTTCCTTCTTTGATACAGTTGGTTCTTCTTTAAAACAAATTAAAATTATGCTCTGTTCAGAGCACGGGTCCCCAACCTTAGCAACTTTAAGCCTGGAGGACTTCAACTCCCAGAATTCTCCAGCTAGCTGGCTGGGAAATTCTGGGAGTTGAAGTCCTCCAGGTTTAAAGTTGCTAAGGTTGGAGACCCCTGGTTCAGAGGGCTCCCCATCACCATGGACAATGGGTTAAACCCTTCCTGTTCTGAATTTCAGCACCCAGAACCCAATCTAGAACAAAACCCCCACATTTTTAATTCCATTGTTGAGTCCATTCATTTGGTCAGTCATTCCCATGGTTCTTATTATGTGATGAATATTAAAACAATTGCCAGGCAGAGTTGGTTCCCTTCTCTAGCAACTCCTGTTTGCTCTAACACTGACTTCGTATTTGCTCTCAGCTAGTGGAAATAATTTGATTCTCCCTTTCATAGGAAGCAAGCTTCTAAGTATCACTGCCCATAAATCCATCCTGGCAAGTATGCGCGTATCTAGCACACTCACAGCCTGGTATGTATTTTCCACTGATATGATCTATTCATGTAGCCTTTGATTCTAAGGGAAGGGTGCTTTGAAATCTGATCCGGTTATGTGTCCGAGCCTTTAGACAAGAGCACAGACTCATCTTCGCATGCTTAGAAGGCATCATAGTCCACTCAGCACCTGAACAGCTGAGAGCAGCAAGGCTAAGGGACCCCACTCTGTTGTGGCTGGAAAGAGGGCCTCGTCTTCAATGCTTACTCGAGAAACAGACTTAAACCCTGCAGAGGATTTCCTTTCTGAAGTGGTGATACGATGAGACTCAAAGGTTGCCGGTTCTTAGAAAATTAAAACTAGGTCTTTTGCATTTTAAAGCATCTGCCTGGTTAGTCTTTTCTCCCCTCTGTAGCACATAGGTAAAAGGTAAAGGTTCCCCCTCGCACATATGTGCTAGTCGTTCACAACTCTAGGGGGCGGTGCTCATCTCTGTTTCAAAGCCGAAGAGCCAGCGCTGTTCGAAGACATCTCCATGGTCATGTGGCCAGCACGACTAAATGCCAAAGGCGCACGGAACGCTGTTACCTTCCCACCAAAGGTGGTCCCTATTTTTCTACTTGCATTTTTTTACCTGCTTTCGAACTGCTAGGTTGGCAGAAGCTGGGACAAGGAACGGGAGCTCACCCCGTTACGCGGCACTAGGGATTCGAACCGCTGAACTGCTGACCTTTCGATCGACAAGCGTCTTAGCCGTTGAGCCACCGCGTCCCTCCTTGATGTGTTTATGTATTTATGCTTTATGTAGCACATAAAGCAGCCCAACTCTGTCTTTTAAGGCTGCTAAACGTTGTTGTTAGGAGATAATTTTGTGTGGCTCATTTTTATTTGGTCATTTTTATTGGTTTTATTTATTGGTCAGTTTTATTGATTTCATTCTTATTGGTTGAGGAGTGGAATTAAGTTCTGTCTCTCTGTCCTTCAACTGCCTATCAATATTCCTGCCAGTATTTATTGCTCCGCTTGAATTAATCTAAATCTAGAACTTCAGAATATGTTCTTTTCAAATGGTAATTGTAGAAGATATTTCACCCCGCCCCCTTAACCTGTTAAAAATATAACTGAGACAAAAAGACATTCTCCTTCTATGTTAGTTGTTCACTAATTGTTCACCCACATGTCATGTAGCTGGCTCTACCCATTAGGCATTTGGGGCAATCATCAATGATAACAGAAATTAAAGGCTGCAGAGTCAGCTGCCTATCCAATCTCCTGCCTTTGAGATCAGAGCTATATATGCAATTGGAATAAGAAAGATAGGATCCTAATCTGTTCATAGGAATGTTTAAGACATCAATGGCCACTGTTTTGAATAGCCCCGTGATTTGTAGATTACATGAGGATACAAGAAAGTTAAAGATAATTGTCATTTTGCAGACTCTGGCTCTTGGCTATATGAGACTTTGAGGCATAACTTACTCAAAATCTTCAGTCAAGTACTGCTAATATTCCTACTTCTAGAGAGCTACTTCTAGAGAGAAATGGAATATTTGTTTCTAAGTGATTCTCCACTTCCTTTTCCTCCAATTGTCTTAGATTTTGTAGAGGGTTTAAGGGATCTTTCATTTCTACAATCACGATTTAGTCCTCACCCAGACATTATGCTGAATGATCTATCATAGAGTAGTAGTCAAAGCTCCATATAATAATAACAACTTGGCTCATGCAGGATTTCTGCTGCCTTCTTAAAGGCCACTAAGTCTCACTTCATAAAGAGAAAACTGATATGGTCTCTTCTAATATCGGTGTCCAATGTAACCATACCTGCTAGTCCTCACGGTATGACTCAGCTTTGAGTTCAACTCACTTTCAAAGATTCTCCAAAGCTGGAGTATTCACAAGACAATTTTACCATGCTAAGACTGCATAAGTGATTGGTGATGAATTCCTAACATGGAATTTGATGCAGACATGTCATTCTCAATAGCAACTTGCTCTTAGAACCGTGCTAGTGCAGAAATCAACTCCTAAATGACCTCCAGATGCTTTAGATGCTAAGTCCCATGCTCCCTTTCCACTGCCCATGCTGGCTGAGGTTGATGGGAGTAGAAATCCAAGACATCTTAAAAGCACCAGGTTGCCCATCAAAGCATCGGTGTCTTCTCTAACCAGTTGGTTTGTTCTTTCACCCGCCCACCCAGTCAACCCAATCTCTCCTCAACCAACCTGTCTGGGGTGGACAGATACTTCTGCTTTTGGAATTTCTTCTCCAGTCCCATCAGCTGCAACTCTGTGAAGATGGTCCGGCTGCGACGAGGCTTCTTCAAGGGGATGGTGGGCTGCTCTGTCTCGGATTCACTGCTTCCATGAGTTTCGTTGGCTTGGCTCTCTAAACAGGTGCTTCCCGAAGGTGGGAGCGGTGAGAGAACCCGAGAGGTGCTCACTGCAGGAATGAAGTGAGAGACGGCGGAAGGCTGTCTGGTGATGACAGAGATGAGTGGATAAGCCCGGAGAGAGGAGGATCCTGGGAAATAAGCATCGGAAAAGGAAAGGCATTACCAAGAGAGTTTGACTAGACAGATTGCTTCATCTTTAAGGTCCCAGCTCTACTTTGATCAAAATTTATTATTTATTCATTTATTTATTATTTTATTATTTTTTATTTTTATATGCCGCCCTTCTCCGGAGACTCAGGGAGGCTTACAGTGCGTTAAGCAATAGCCTTCATACTTTTGTATATTTTATACAAAGTCAGCTTATTGCCCCCACAAACCGGGTCCTCATTTTACCCACCTTAGAAAGGATGGAAAGGCTGAGTCGACCTTGAGCCTGGTGAGAATTGAACTCGCAGTAATTGCAGGCAGCTGGATGTTAAATGCTGCCTTAGTAGGAGGCATTAGCCTCCTACGCCACTCAGGCTCCTTTGATTAATACTTATTTGATTAATACAGAGTACATAGTGGATAAGATACTGTAAGTACATCAGTTGGGACCATCAAAGGCAGAGTAGAGGCAACCAGTGGTGAAATTCAATTTTTTTTTACTACTGGTTTGGTGGGCGTGGCTTGGTGGGCTTGGCAGGGGAGGGATACTGCAAAATCTCCATTCCCACCCCACCCTGGGACCAGCCAGGGGTGGCATTTGCCAGTTCTCCGAACTACTCAAAATTTCTGGTACTGGTTCTCCAGAACATGTCAGAACCTGCTGGATTTCATCCCTGGAGGCAACCCTTCTTTTTAGTGGCTTGATTTTCCGTCTTTCATTTAAAAAAAAAAACATGTTCCAAACACAGCAGTAAGCTTTAAGTAATTACCTACAGGCACCAATCGATTGGGGGGGGGGCGGGTGTTGGAAAAGAGAGGATTTTATTAGTACAAGAAAGGTAATTTCTCCTCCCTGTCCAAGGCCCTCAGTCCTGAATGGACCAACATGTGTTTCCAATTAAATATACAAAATCATAAAACTGAGATGGAAGACATGTAGATTGCATGTGATCTAGTTAAGGCCTAGGGGAGCTGTTCTAGCCTCCGACATTCCATTTGTGCTCTGATTTTCATCCTTCAACTCCTTAGCTGGAAGGTCCAATGAGCAGAACATCAAGGCATGGTTGGCCATCACCTTCTTACAAGCTGGGAAGAAGCATTTATGGCAGGGGTGAAATCTAGCAGGTTCTGACAGGTTCTGGAGGACCGGTAGCGGAAATTTTGAGCAGTTCAGAGAACCGGCAAATACCACCTCTGGCTGGCCCCAGAGTGGGGTAGGAATGGAGATTTTGCAGTATCCTTCCTCTGCCATGCCCACCAAGCCATGCCCACCAAGCCACACCCACAGAACCGGTAGTAAAAAAAATTGGATTTCACCACTGAGTTATGGACTTCAGGAAATTCATCTATAGCTCCTCCAGGTAAAGGAGTTTCAGTGGAGAGATTATAAACCCCCATTTCATTTTCTTCATTTTTAAAAATAAACTTAACAGTTTATTGGCAAGCAGAGCCAGCTTCACAAACCAATGTTCTAGTGGCTATTATGAAATAAATATAATATACTTTACAGTGGTAGAAAAAAAGCTGCAATTGTTTGTAGAAGTGCTTGCCTCCATTGGTCATTGGACAGATCAATTTATTGGTCATTGGACAGATAATTTATTTTATGTCTGGACTTGTTTGGCATGTGTTTGCTGAAAACATCAGCCTTTCTAAAGCATAATATCTAAAGGGCATTATTGTTGTTTGTATTTCTCACATTTTACAGTATGCATTTGATACTCAAAATACTTTTGTAAGTTGGAGTGCTCTTTATTCTAGATTGAATATCTACCTTTAATGATTGTTGGTATGTTTTCTGAATAAGAGAGAATAAAGACCCATGACAGAAGGATTTTGGCCCAGGTACTTAGAGCCATGAGTATGAACCAATGGTGGATTGCCCCCCCCCCCGGTTCGGACCAGTTCGCAAGAACCGGTAGTAAAACCGGCGGGAGGCTCCGCCCACCGACCCCGACATCATCAGAGCAAAACGAGGGCGCGCGCGGCCCCGCTGCAAACCGGTAGTAAAGGTAAGTAGAAACCCCCCCCTGGTGTCAACCAAGTCAATGTGTTTAAAAACACAAGCCAAATAAATTCACAAGTGTGTGTTTGTTGTGCATATATATAGTGATACACTTTCCACTTTACTTGAGCACAGATCAGAGGTGGGTTTCAGCAGGTTCTGATCAGCAGAACTGATAGTGGAAATTCTGAGTAGTTCGGAGAACCGGTAGTAAAAATTCTGACTGGCCCCACCCCCATCTATTCTCTGCCTGCCGAATCCCAGCTGATCAGGAGGAAATGGGGATTCTGCAGTAACCTTCCCCTGGAGTGGGGTGGGAATGGAGATTTTACAGTATTCTTCCCCTGCCATGCCCACCAAGCCATGCCACACCCACCAAGCCACGTCCACAGAACCAGTAGTAAAAAATTTTGAAACCTACCACTGGCACAGATGCTTGTAAATAAGTAAAACATTTCTGTTGAAGAAGAAAACATGGTAGCAAATTCATTTTTCTGCAAACAACATAGCAGAAAAACAGCATAGCTTACTTAAAAATTGTTTTGCTATCATGATTCTTCCATAGTTTTCAGCTGAGGCACCAAGGAAACCACAAAAACCATTAAAAAGTAATAAATCAATGACACTCAAAAACTATATTCAAATACACACACACATACACATATACACACACACAAAGTCTGGAAGATTAAAATCATTACAGGGAAGCATTTTTTTTAGCAAGGTCTTTCTTCTTAGTATATTGAAGTTGTTGGGTTAATGGTGCTTTTCCTATTTGGGTAGAGTTCAAGGACAAGAATGCCATGGGTGACTGAAGTTTGGGAGAATCAACACAACTTTAAGGGAAGGTGGTGGAAACGTCATCATCAGCTCAACAGGGAAATGAAAAATATGAAATAACACGAGCATTTAGCCGACACAGTTAAAAAGTTATGCTGGGTTCCAAAAAATACATCTGATTTTTCCTAACCTTCGTCTTTCAATTTCATGAAAAAGGAAACGCTTCTGCTTTTCTTTTGCAGGGGGAGTGGCTCCCAAGGAGAAGAACCATTTTGCTGAAGTTGCCACACCTGGAATGCAAGGTTGATCAAATCAACTGGCTTCCAGTTACCATGTTGTCACTGAAATCTGAACTCTCTGTCTCCCAGCCTTCGATCTCTCCCAACGTCGTGGTTTTTAATCCATCAGTTTCAGGTATCACCTGGGAGATATTTTCTCCATGACTTTGAGGATGATGGTTTCCACAACTGCATTCTTCTGCTTTGGTTGTAAATCTGGAGAGCTCAGCTGGTAGTAAGGAGGAATTTGTTTGCGTCTCATCCTTTAGGGTGGGGAGTGTAACTGAAACCGCAGGAGGGCCGGGAGGGTGGAGAAGAAACTTCTGAAGAAGTTTGCAGTGCTATGGCAACGAGGAAAAGATGATGTGCTGTCAGTGGCATGATGAGTGATGAAGTGATTGGCAGAGCGGTACATAGGGCATATCCTTGTCCTATCATTGCCTTGGGGCAAGGCATGAGTAGCCATGAATGAGAAGACTCTTCTTCAGCTACATTTCTCTTTAGAACATAATCATGAAGGTAGAAGGGACCTTTGAGGTCTTCTAGTCCAATTCCCTGTCAAGGCAGGAAATCTTATAACCATACCAGTCAAATGGTTCTTCAGCTTATTTTTGAAAACCTCCAGTGATGGAGCACCCAAACTCTGGGAGGCAAGCTATTTCATTGATTAATTGTTTTGACTGTCACAAAATTTCTCCTTACTTCTAAGTTGAATTGCTCTTTAACAAGTTTCCACCCATTACTTCTTATCCTGCCCTAAGGTGCTTTGGAGAATAAATCAAAACCCTCCTCCTTATGACAGCCCCTCAAATACTGGAAAACAGCTATGATGTCCCCCCTCCTCAATCCTTCTGTATGATTGGCTAGATGTATCTACTTCTCTTAACTGTTCATGGTACACTTTAGCTTCCATACCTCTTACCTTTGTTGCTCTTTTCTGCACGCTTTCTTATTTTTCATTTTTATTCTTTCCTTCTTTAGGAGAAGGTCACATTCTCAGAACCAGTTCTGATCAGATTGCATTTGTTCCAGGGTTGGCTTTCAAAAATTTTAGCAAGGGGTTCTCTGCCCAGTTGCTGGGTGGACATGGCCATGGTGTGAATGGGTTTTAATTGTTTTTAATGGTTTAACTTTTAATGTTTTATATGTGGTTTTTAAATGCATTGTAAGCTGCCTTGAGTCTTTGGAGAAAGGCGGCGTACAAGTTGAATAAATAAATAAATAAATAAATAAATAAATAAATAAATAAATGGTGGGCGTGGCCTAGTCGGCCTCATGCACCACAGTGTGGGGGGGGGCGTTTTTGCCCTCCCCAGGCTCTGGAGACTTTCCTCAAGCCTCCAGGAGGGTGAAAATGGCCTCCCCAGGCTCTGGAGGCCCTCTGGAGGCCTTCCTGAACTTCCAGTAGGCCCGTTTTTCACCCTCTCTGAGCCTCCGTGCACACCCTGCACTTACCTGCATCCAAAACAGGCCGCGTGGGGACTCCTGGGAAGGGAGGGGCAGGGTGGGCAGGGCCAGCCAGGAGTGGGATTTGGGGGTTCTTCGAACTGCACAGAATCTTAGCTAGAGGTTCTCCCGAACCCTTGCGAACCCCCAGCAGCCCACCCCTGATTTGTTCATAAGTTTCCTCCTCACTGAATCGGTTCTAACCTGAAAGTCAGCATATTTAGTGGACAACCATCTGTAGAATGGATGTTCCTCATTCAGCCCTTCCCAGAATCTCCAGAGAATCCCCAGATTGAAAATCCAGCTAGCTGTTTACCAAACCTGAGTTAGAAGGACTCAGCGATGTAAAGTCATTTAACTTTTCTGGGTTTTTAAACTCAAAAACAAAAAACTGGAAAAACCTTAGGGTTGCCTTTCAAGTTAAAAGGAAAACAGGTTTTTTTTTTGGTTTTTTTTTAAAAAGCTAAACAAT